TTTCCGGAGCTGTTTGTTGTTTATTAATTTTTTTGATATTATTTGCCGAGAGCTTGAGGATTGCTCTCGGCAAAGGCTCTTGCCGAGAGCAATGGGCCCGCCTCTCGCAGATTTCTTTTTTTTTTTTACGGCCCGGATCAATGGTTTGCCGAGAGCGGCTCTCTGAAGAGGTTTGCCGAGAGTCGCTCTCGGGAAAGATTTAACTTTTTTAGAAATATCATTTTTGTTGGGTTTGCCAAGAGCTACTCTCGACAAATAATAATTTTTATTTTTTTAATATTTTTTTGTGCAGTTAGCTAGCTAAAAAATTCGAACGAAATTTGAAAAAAAAATAACTTTACCGAGAGCCGGATCTGGGGGCTCTCGGCAAAGGGGGAAGGTTTGCCGAGAGCCTCCCAGATCTGGCTCTCGGCAAAGTGGCTTCAGACACTTAACCGTTTCGGCGCCTTATCTCTCTCACTCTTCACACACACACACACACTCGGCCGCCGCCGCCATGAGCACCACCGCCGTCGCGCGATGCCGCCACCAGTGTCGCTGCCGCCGCCGCATGAGCCGGACGCCGCCCGAGCCCAGCCGCCGCCGCCCCCGCCAAGCCCACTCGGCCGCCCTAGCCCCCTCGCCCGCCCTCAAGCCGCCCGCCCGCCCGCCGAGCCTCACCATGCCCGCCAGCCCGCTGGCCGCCATCCGCCCATCCGCCCTGCCGCGCCGTGTCCCAGCCAGCCGCCCAGCTCCGCCGACCCGGCCATCCGCGTCGCGGCCATGGCGCGCCCTTCTAGTCGTGCCCTCCTGGCCCCCACTGACCCCGTCTCCACCCCCGGCCCAGCCCACGCCCGCCACGCCACGCGCCCCTCGCCCGCCACGCACACGCCCCCACTGCCCTCGCCTCGCCTCGCCTCTCGCCTCTCGCCTCGGCTCGCCCTCGTCCTCGCCTCGCCGCGCTCACGCCTCGCCCTCCCTCGTCCTCGCCCTCGGCCTCGTCCTCGCCCTCGGCCTCATCCTCACCGTCGGCCTCGCCCTCGGCCTCGGCCTCGCCGATGAGAGGAACAAGGTATACTGAGTAGTATTAGTGGTAGTAGTAGTTAGTAGTTGTAGTAGTAGTCTAAGTAGTACTAGTGGTAGTAGTAGTAGTCAGTAGTTAGTAGTTGTAGTAGTAGTTAGTAGTTGTAGTAGTGGTAGTAGTAGTGGTAGTAGTAGTTAGTAGTTGTAGTAGTGGTAGTAGTAGTTAGTGTAGTAGTAGTTGCATTAGTTAGAGTAGTAGTTGTAGTAGTGTTAGTAGTAGTTAGTAGTTGTAGTAGTGGTATTAGTAGTGGTATTAGTAGTAGTTAGTAGTTAGTAGTTGTAGTAGTGGTATTAGTAGTGGTAGTAGTAGTTAGTGTAGTAGTAGTTGATAATTAAGCTGCATGTGGTTCCTTGATATATATGTGGTTGTCGGCCATCGTGCCGTGGTTTTCTTTCAGGTTTGGAAACCTCATCGTTCAGGGGAGATGCTGTCGAATTTTTGAGTTGACGTTATTTTGCTTCTTTCTTTCTTTTTGCAGGAGCGGAAGGACGAGCAGGAGGCCGAGGTAGGAGGTTCCAGTTCCACCGGAACCTCGGGTGTCTACCAACGAGGTCCGGCGAGCCTACCTGAGCGGCCGATACCTGAGGCTCTACGCCCGGTCATTCGACCCGTTGGGTAAAAGTACGTAACTTTTACATTTTTTTGCTCCTACATATGATAGAATCACAATGGAAACTAACAGTTTTTTCTTAATCACTTACGCAGGTCTTGGAAGGTCGTGGTCCCAGGTGCTCACAAAAGGTTGCCCAATGGCATCCTGGGTCTTCTCTGCAGGGAACACTTCCCAGGCTTGGTTCGCTACGTCGAAGCTCTGGAGCCGGCCTACACGTACGAGCACTACGTCGCCGCCCCTGATGCGGAGGACGAGACGGGCCGCACGTACGAAAGCGTGGCGGAGCGGGTTATGTGCGAGTTTTGGGTAAGTCTTCCTCCCACTACTTTGCTCAATACATTGCATTCGCTAGAGTTTCTTGAACCAGTGTATTGATACATCTTTTCTATATGCAGGACTTCTTCAAATGCGCCAAGGGCTACGAGGCGAGGGTGGCCAAGGCGTCGGCCAAATCTTTTAGAGGTCGCATCTTAGACATGCATTACGAGGCGCGGCTCTAGGCCATCATCGATTACTGTGCCATCTACGAGCATCGAAAGGTAAAGAAAGAAGATGCAAGATTAATGCATCTGACCAAAGAGCAGTACCTGAAGGTAAATATACACCATCAATATTGATTTCTTCTGAGATTGGGTAGGCTTGAATTGTTCTTATATCTCGTCAATGTACTTGATGTCGTGACAGTGCCTCGGCTTGCCGGTGCGCCAATAAAACGCTGAACTGGCAGATGATGGTCGACAGGTGGGTGAGTGGCAATTGGGCAGATAACCACACCGTCCTCCGGGAACAACTTTTGTTGATGCCAAGTGTATCACACCACCAGGGCAACCTTAACATCCACGAATTCGGGGCTAGATGGGTACGTGACTTGGTGTAGCTTCATTTATTCTTTCAGACATTTATTCCTGCATGATTTATAATCGTCTTGTTGTTTTTTCTCGCGATCGGTCGCACATCAAAACCAGCCATGTGGAGAGCTCAAGTCATGGGTTCTAGCCCACAAGGGCAAGGCGACAGACAACATCAACTAGAACCCGGATGACCCAGCCGAGTCGTTCACCAATGAGAGCATCCCCGAGTGCATCGATCCAATTACACCGAGGCGGCAAAGGGAGTCCATGGGCAGATGGGATCCGCACATCGCGGACATTGATGGTGACATCGTCATGATGAGGGGTGGAGGAGGCAAGAAGCATGGGCGGTACCTCATCGGCAACAAGACGCTCGACCCGCACACCACTCCCACTCTCTCACTGGTCCGATAAGTGCAAGACGATGTAGCGTGCCCATACGCCCAAGGCGGGACACTTGACGCATCGTGTGGCAAAGACTACTGAGTTATTTCTGTTTTATTCGTCATTCATTGGTTTTACATTCCTCAAAATTGCTTGTAACAATGCGGTGAAAAATTATAGGCCCAGTGCATGCGCTCGAGGAGCATAAGGCTAGGGTGGAGGAAGAGCGACGAGAGGAGGCGGAGGCCGAGCGACAGAGGTGGGAGGCCGAGCGGGCGAGGTTTGACGCCTTGGCTCAAGATGCGTGGCAAGTCTTGGCGCCACGATGGGTCGTCCAGCGCCACTAGAGCTATTCGCTCCTCCACCGCCTTACCCATACCCACCTTACTCATACGTGAGTTCAACTTCTCTAACAAAAGCTCTTTATTGTGCATGTCGGCCATCGTGCCGTTGATATGTGATGGGAGGACTTCGTGCCGTTGATATATATGTGTGCCGGCCATCGTGCCATTGATATGTGGTGGGCGGCCATCGTGCCGTTGGTTTTCTTGTAGGTTTTGGAAACCCCACCGTGCAGGGGAGGTGCTGCCGAAATTTTGATGTGTCTAGGCTTAGATTACAATTTTATACCTAGTTCTACAAATTTTGACTTGTCTACGCTTAGATTACAATTATATGCCTTAGTATTACTATAATTACTATTTTTCTTCTCCTTTTGTGCGAGAATCAATCGGCATGGGTTCGAATGATGTGCCCGAGTACCGCCGTCGGGAGGGTCGTGGCACCAATGTATCCACAACTTCATTTTGCATCGCCAGCCGTCAGGGGGGTCGGGGTACAGCCAGATATCACACCTTCCGCCGCTTGCAGCAACAACCGCCGTCGGGAGGGTGGGAGCCTTGGGGGTGAGCCTGTTGTTCTTCATCATGTATTAGCACTTTGTGACATGAACTTGTGTGAGATGAACTTAGCACTTTGAGATGGACATGTGTTGTTGGATTTGAGATGTTTAGATGGATTATAATGTGAGACATGTGATGTGGATGACATATTTGTGATATATGTGATGTGGATGATGTGTTATATTTGTGAAATATGTGTTGTTGAAGCTGGAAATATAAACAAAAATAAAAAAAATGCTCTCTGGACTCTTTGCCGAGAGTAGGGCTCTCGGCAAATCTGCCTCTTTGCCGAGAGCTTGGTGGTCGGCTCTCGGCAAACTTTTTTTTTTTGAAAACCACCTCGGCCGCAAATCTTTTTTTTTAACAATTCTTTGCCGACGGTCGCTCTCGGCAAAGAAGTGTTTTGCCGACGGTCGCTCTCGGCAAAGAAGCTGTCACACCGTTAGCGATCGTTTGGCCGTTACTAGGGCGCGCCAGTTTACGGAGAGCTAGAGTTTGCCGAGAGCCTTGCCATTACTCTCGGTAAATATTTTGCCGAGAGGGGCTCTCGGTAAAGAATACTTTGCCGGTAGATGTTTTGCCGACGGCTCTTTGCCGAGAGCTGCTCTCGGCAAATAGTTTGCCGAGCGTCAACTCGTCTTTGCCGAGAGCTTCGGGCTCTTCGGGCTCTCGGCAAAGGCCGGGAGTCCGGTAGTGTACTATTGCTCCAGTTTTTTATCTGCATTCGTGAATTTCTAGTATTCACCTGTGATTAATGGTTTTTCAATATTCATCATCGTTCATCCTTACATTTGGAATCTAATGGAGAAAAGTTTATTTGAGATGAGAAGTATAGAATAGGCAATTCCGTAGTTCTAGTTAATTTTCCTCTTTGAAGCTAAGTGTGGACTGACAAGCATTACCATCATATGAATTTCATTGTGAGCGCGCGTTTAGTTCCCCAAAGTTGGATTTTGGGGCTACTATAGCACATTCGTTTTTATTTGGCAAATAGTGTTCAATCATGGACTAATTAGGCTCAAAACGTTCGTCTCGCAATTTCCCATCAAACTGTGCAATTAGTTTTTTTTTTCGTCTATATTTAATGCTCCATGCATGGGCCGTAAACATTCGATATGACAGAATACTATAGCAACTTTTTAAAATTTGGGGTCCAACTAAACGAGGGCTGAAATCAGGGCCGGGCCATGTCATTCTGTGGAGTATCCTTCAATTCGTTGGAGACAGCTGTCTGCCGCCATCTACCTCTTCGTCCACACCCCTCCTTGTCGGCGGGTACCACCTGCTCGTGGTCAATGGCTACTCACGCACAAAGCAGGACACCCCCAACGGCAAGTGCATACGGTCAGACTACTTCAAGCTCGGAGGCCATCGCTGGATCATCGAGTACTACCCTAATGGCTATGAACAGGAGAATACCGACTACATATCCTTTTTATCTCGTTCTCGACGAGCACAACATCGTCGAGCCTGTCGTGGCGCATGCAGTATGTGTTTAGCTTCCTTGGTCAGGTTCAGTCGCCAGAGTCATCGCTGCTCGTCGGCGAAAGGGGAGCGCACAGTTTCTCTAGCACGGATGCATATAGTTTCGCCTGTTTGATGAAGAGAGAGAGCTTCGAGAGATCGAAGCATCTCAGGAACGACAGTTTCACTATCAGGTGTGACGTCTCCATCACTAAGAATGTCAACATCGGGGAAGCAGGCGCCGCCGTGCGGTTTGTTAACGTGCCTCCTCCTGACATTCAGCATCACCTCGGTAGTCTCCTCCTGTCACAGGAGGGCACCGACGTGACATTTCAGGTCGGCGACGAGAAGTTCATTGCGCACCGGTGCTTGTTTGCGGCCCGCTCTGCCGTCTTCAAGGCCGAGCTCTTTGGCGCCATGAAGGAGGGGACAACAGACACCGTCGTGCATATCGACGACATGGACGCGAAGGTATTCAGGCGGCTGCTCGGTTTCATGCATGTACACCGATTTCGTGCCGGAGTCTGAAGAGGAGGAAGAAGAGTATATGTGGCAGGACCTGCTTGTGGCAGCGGATAGATATGACGTCCCGAGGCTTCGACTGATCTGCGAACGCATGCTGTGCCCATACATCAACACGGATACGGTGGCAACTATGCTTGAGCTCGCTGACAAGCACCACTGCAATGGACTGAAGGATGCATGCTTGGATTTCCTCAACTCTCCGGCAAATCTGCAGGAAGTAACGGCGGCTGGTGGCCTGAATGATCTGACTATCAGCTGTCCTGCTGTCCTTATAGAGCTTATCGCCAAGCTTACGTCGTCGCTTAAGCTTGATAATAAAATGATAGTATGTGGTACACTGATAGGTTTTATTAGGTTTATTTATGAAAAGAAGTCGTATTTTCTTTACAATGAGAGGTCACTGTATTACGATGTCAAGTATAGTTATTATCTGCATGTACACTCGCAGATCCGCACCTAGAGAGATGTTATTGTTATTTGATTTTTTTCAGTTTATGTTTATGTTGGCTCCATTCCAAATTAAATCAAGTTGTAAATATGTCCTAAGTGTGAAACTATATATTTCAAGTTTAGTCAAATTTAAAGAAAGAGCGTCGTCTCAAAAAAAATATCTGCAGATAGCGGCCGGGGATCACGGTTGATTTTGTTGGTTCGCTATGTCGTTCGCCGGCGTATCTTTCGTTAGCGAGGGCGGGCCGTCGACGCGATCTACACCAGCCGCCATCATCCTGTCAGTTGCACCTATCTTGCACGAAAACATTTTTCATAGGTAGTAGTACTCCGTACTTGAATGAATTAATTACAAGACACGATGCCAACATGACAGCATGTTTCATGAGAATAGAAGAGAATTTCATTCTTCGTCTTTCCCCAATGAAAACACTCTTTCCCTATTTTCCTTTTGAGAGCATTGCGAGCATGCTTTTACAAGGATGCAATTAACATGTGTAGGAATGTTTGGATGATACTGCCATGATTTTTATTCTATAAAATTTTATGACAAATTCACGCGGGGAGCATTCAATTCCTTTGCTTTTTGTAGCATTATGTAAAAATGAACTCAGCTGTCGTGTTTGTAATTTATACAACGGAGGCACAAGTATGTATATATATAGCCACGAGCCCAAAGCTGGGCAGCATCAATATGGCCCTTGGCCCACACAAACCAAAGCCCAGCGTCACGTAAAACTCAAGACTCCCCACGAGCCACGGCAGGCCCAGGTGAGGTCGCCGGTAGTAGCAGCAGCAACGGGGGCGGTGGGCCCCGACTCCAAATTTGGCCCGACTGACTCCCTCGCTTGGGGCGAGAGCCCTGTGTAACCAAAACAGACCAGGGCAAAACGACTAACGGTGGTGACGGCAGTGGCGAAGAGAGAAACAAGGAACTAAAGCGATGGTACAAATGTCACAGTTAGTTTTTTAGTGATGTGTAGAGTATTTTTGCAATATTCAAATGATGAGGAATTCTCTCAAACTAATACGTTGCCGGAAGTAATTTCTAAGGTAAGTTTTTTTACTTTACGGTTGTATAGTATGAAAACTACTAATTTCAGCATTAGGAGTACCCTAATACAACCCAAGATCAAACTTCTGGCATCGTGCAGGGAGCGGTCATGTCTCAACACGACCCATTCCTGCGACATGTTATTCCAGGAAGCTCACATCGCCCACAGTGACAGACACGTGGTCACTATGCAGCTTACTCCCTATACGGCCGTTGATCAGCATGCTGGTTCGCCGCGCCGCCCGGCGGGGCGGAGTGGGATGTTACGTCCCGCTGACAACACTAGGGCATGGCATCATCGACAGACAGGCACCCGACGTGGAGCTGTCCCTGTCACCACCTACCGTGTCAGCGGGGCCCGCACAGAGGAAAAGAAAGGCCCGACGACCCTAAAGGATTTCTTCTCCCTCTCGTTCTTCTCTTTTCTCCCATTGTAACTCGTGCTTTCTCTTGACCTATAAAAGGGAAAGCAGGGCGTTCCATTAAGGGGCATCGCACCACATCAGATCAAAACCACTAGCATCGAGCCTCAAACATATAGCCGAGCAGCGACCGAGCTCTCGGTACCCCTTCGTTCTTTGTACCAGAGACTTGGGACATGTCCCTCTCTCGCCCGTTTGTAACCCTTACTATGAACTTTTCAGTGCTAGTAACACGAGCAGCAGCAACGAACTGGATGTAGGGACATTCCGTCCGAACCAGTTAAACCTCGTGTCCTCTTAGCACACCATCTGAGCCAGACGCGTAATATTAGGAATTTACTCGTGGGTGTTTACTCGAAACACCGACAGTCATTCAACTGTTTTGATGGGTGGTTTGAAAATTTTGAAATTCACAATGTGAGAACTTCAAATAGAATTTTGTGAGTATAAATAATTTCCAATAAAAAAATTATCAACGACAAAGTCATAAATAATTTCAAATAGAAAAAATTTTGAGGAGTGGTCAAACTCGCAGCCGTTGTCGCACTGAACTGCCTTGATGGTGGAGTTGAACTGCATGCGCACATATGAGAAAAAGTTAGAAAGGACACTGAAAGTATCGGACTTGAGACGTAATGGGAATGTCCAAGTGTAATGAGTGCAGTCATCAAGAATGACTAAATAATATTTATAGCCCGACACACTGACAACCGGAGAAGTCCAAAGATCACAATGTATTAAATCGAAAGGATATGCAGCGCGAGAGTGTGACACACTAAAAGGTAGGCGCACATGGCGACCTAGCTAACAGGCATGACAAACATGATAAATATGGCGCTTATTACATGAAATAGCATTGGAACTAATAAGCTTGGAAAGAGCCGCATGTCTGAGATGACCAAGGCAACGATGCCAGAGGGACGTGAATGACGCGGTGGCAGCGAGGGCAGTGGGAGTGCTGGATGGTGCTGGGAAGAACGGGTAGAGGTCACCCGTGCTATTGCACCTGGCGATCACGCTCCGTGTCTAAAGGTCCTTCACAGAGAGGCCAAACGGGTCAAACTCAATGGAACAATTATTATCAGTGGTGAAATGACGTACGAAAATCAAATTCTTAATAATGTTTGGTGACACTAAAACATCAGAAAGAACAAGAGGACGTCGTGTGGTGGAGAATGAGTGTGACCCAATAGATGTAACGGGAAGCGAAGCTCCGTTACCAACAATAATAGATGAAGGACTAGATGACCAAGGATGGTGAGAGGTAGAAAGAATACCAGTGTTGTTGACCATATGGGCAACGGTGCCGCAGTCAACGTACCACTCGGCCGATGAAGGGGGCGTCAGCGTCATGGTGTTGAAGTTGTTGACGAGGGCGGATGGATCCCAGGACGCGCCCTGCATGGGCGTCCACTGCTGCTGCTGCTGTGGCGGCGATGGTCCTCCGTAGCCGAACCCTAGAGGAGGTCCGAGGGTGTACGGCTACTGCATGTACGGCTGTTGTATGTACTGCTATTGCGGATGAGGAACAGCAGTGAAGGCAGCCAGCAGAGGTCGAAACGGTGTCCCTGGACCGCCCGGCGAACACGGCCAGAGTTGCACGGTGCCCGTCCATGGGTTGTAGAATGGTGCCGGTGAGCGAGTGCCGCCTCTAGTGTTGGAGACCTGCTGCTGCTGGTTGCGCCCACGGCCACCGCGGCGACGGCCAGTGCGCTGTGAGCCGCCCTGGCCAGCGTGCCCGCCCTGGCTGCCCTGGCCATGGCCGGCATGGCCGCCCTGGCCCTGGCCTGCGTAGGAGCGCCCAACAGGAGGGCACGGGGCAGTGACGAGCGCGGTTGTCGCAGAGGATGCCAGCGGGTCCGATGCCCCGGCGGCTTCGCTTGCAGCAACGTTGTTGATGTCAATCTCCTCGAGCAGGAGGAGTGTGCGAGCCTCCTCGAAAGTGGGGAAGGGTTGCCACATCTTGAAGTTGGAGACCATGGGCCAGAACTTGCCATTGAGCCCGCGAAGGAGAGTGAGGACCAAGGTCCGATCCCCGATCGGATCGCCGAAGTCATAGATGGTTGCCGCCATCATTTCAAGACGGCGGCAGAAGTCGGTGATAGAGGCCGACCCCTGTTTCGCCGTGCAGAACTCCGCCGAGAGCAGTAGGGCGCGCGATTCGTGCTGGCCGAGGAACTCGTTCTCGAGGTAGGTCCACGTGCCGCGCGCGTTCGGCTTGCGATTCATCGTCGACTGCTGGAGATCGGCGTGGATGGTGCAGTAGATCCAAGTGAGCACGGTGCAGTTCATCTGCACCCACGCCGGTCGATCGGCATTGACGACATCGGAGAGGACGTGGTCCGTTAGGACATACTTGCCGAGGACAACGAGGAACATGGACCGCCACCAGTTATAGTTGTCAGCGGCGCGATCCAAGACCAGGGGCACGAGGACCTTGATGTTGAGGACGGCGATGGCCGCGCCGTGGACGTTGGCGTACTTGGCCTCGTACGTGTCGAGGGCCGCAACACGATCGGCCTCTGACCTGCGGGCGCACTCCTCGCGAGCCTGGCGTTCGGCGTTGGTTTTCGCCATGGGAGAGGGCGAGCAGGACGACGCGGTCTCAGGTATGCGGGCGGAGGATTGCGCGACGCGACAGATCGCAAGTTCACGAGTCTTCGCGAGTCAGCGGATCGCGACGTCGTGAGTCAGCGACGTAGCACGGGGGATCAGGCCGGCGAGCGAGACGTGCTCTGCGACGGCGCGCGATGGGAGGGGCCGGCGAACGGGACGAGCTCTGCGACGGCGCAATCGATCGGCCGGCGAACGCGGGTTCAGTGGCGGCGCGATTAGGGTTTGCGGAAGCAAGGAAGGAACCGTCTCATGATACCATGAAAGAGTAGAATTAGGGAATACTCAATGTATTACTGTGTATAATCAGCGTTTACATATATAGGCATTGTGGGAGGCCAGGCAGGCCCACACGCCATATTACATTCCAACATAGGCGAAGGCGGAGAGCGCGTCGGGCGCGCCGTTGCCAAGCGAGAGCAGTGTGGCCCCGGCGATCGCCCGTGGGGGATTGGGGAAGATTATCTGATCACGCCGTGGCGGAAGGACGCAAGGATCCAGATGTTGACGGCACCCACGACATCACAGAACGAGTAAACCACCGCTCGGCGGGCAGTGCAACGGGTGAGGACGGGAAGCGAAGGCCCGCGAGCCCGAAGGTGCGTCACGTCCAGTGGGCAGTGGCGGAGAGGGAGCAGCTGCCAAGCATTAGGGGATGACATGAAACAGAGGTCTTGGTCGATTCATCACAGCACAGTGCACTCAACAATGGTGTCAGTGTCACGGCGGATCACACACAGGAGCCTCTCGTCCCGGAACCGGAACGATCTCGACCGTCGAGCCTCGTCGCATGCGCGGGGGCGGGGCGGGCACAATGATAGGCAATCAGGGATGTACTACTAATCCTCACCTGTGCTTGGATCTGCATCAAGTAAACTGGTTCTGGGAAACAACACGTGAAATTGGAAATGGAAATTCAGG